AAGAAAAACATTAAATCCATATAGCATCAATCGGACAACTACCAAATAATCCATTCGTGCATCCACATCTGTTCAAATCTATAGTTACATCCAGCTCCAAGGATCACAGAAATTCCAAGAAACAACAAAAAGATCACCATTTGAAAACTCCAACAAGAAAAACCAACGTATATGTAAAATCTCCATAATCAATCCGGCAACTCGAGCTCAAGCTCAGAACCATCTTCCGGGTCACAACCCATCAAAACAAGTGGAAAGAAATTGAATAGGCACTCTTCAATCACAAGAAAAAGAAAAACCCAAATGAATAAGGAGATAAATGCTAAAAATGTAGCATAAATTCTCGAAGAAATTATGCCAAGGCAATCTAATGAAGAGATACTACTAGCCTCTCGAGCGATGCAGAGGTTTACCGTTGATTCACCAAAAAACTTTGCAGAGAGCCAGATGGATGTCGAAAGATTGCGTAGGGTGAGCAAATGGAAGAAAGAAGTCGTTTATGGATCGGAGGAGATCAGAGGTGGTTAAACGAGAGAGAGAGAGAGAGAGAGAGAGAGAGAGAGAGAGCAACAATGAAATAGGGAGAGAGAAAAGAGAAATGGAGTCCGGACTCTGATAATATTCAAGAAGTCGGAGGAGGTCATTTTGGTAAATTCACGCATTAAGAAAGCAAGAATGTTCCATACCATCCGATCTATAATTTTTTTTTAATTAAAAATTCTTGATTAATTAGTTAAAATTGTTTAACAAACAAATAAATAGTATTTATTATTTATTATTTTATACACATGTTTCTATCATTTTTTTTTTTAATTTACAAATTTGCAAATGGGTTTTTTCCAGACAACTTTTAAATTTTAATTAAGAGATAAAGAGACTAATAAATGCAAAACAGTACTTAAAAAATTGGATTAATTAAAACACCTCATCATTAATTACTTAAATTTTTCCAATTTCATGTTGGAAAGAAAAGACATGAATATGATTATTTTAGTCTTGAATTGGATAAAGACAAATGATTTAGCTGTTTCCAGTGCGTTATTAATTATTATTATTAGTGCAACTAATTAAAGACAAATTGTACTATAATTACTACTCATCACACAAGAATTTTTTGTCTTAAAATTAAAAAAAAAAAATCAAATCAAATGTAAATTATAGTTTATGATTTCGTCAAATCTCAAAATAAAATTATGTGGTTTGTTTGATGATAATTAATTATCTTAGTCATATTTTTCATTAAACTTTGTGTTCCTTGTAATCATTTTAATTTGTTTTTCATAAAATTATTTATTAGTTTTAAAATTATATATAATTTATTGTTTCTGAGTATAAATTTTATGTTTTGACAAAGTTAGAACTTTGAGATACTTCACGAAATTACTTACTTTGGTAAGAAGAAAGAAAATGATTTATTTACTTTAATCATAAAAATTAATGACTTTTCTTAACTCAAACTAATTATAATCTAATCCTGTTAATAATAGGAATAAATATTTATATATAATGGAAAAAATATATAGATCTTGATGCAATGATTAAATATATGTATCACATATAAAATTCAAAATAAATTTTATTAAAAACATATCTATATTTCTATAATTTTCAGCCATAAAATTACTCACAGTTACCCATTCTAACATCCTAAAATTGTCTACT